ATAATAATAATAATAATAATAATAGAAATAATAATAACAACAATAAATAATAATATCTTGAAACAATAAAATTGTTTATACTTATGTAATTTATATTTAGTGTGAAATATTATGAGTTGGTAATAGCATTAACTATTATATTATATAATAGCAAAAAAGTACATGATTACATTTAATAGGGTGTATTAATGTGAAAGGCAAAATATGAATGACAAATTTTGTAACTTCTTTTGAGGAAAAATAAATGAGATTTTATTAATTAGGTTTTATAAATACATGATTACACTTAATTATGTTTTATGAATGATATTATTATTATTATTATTCTAATTGAATATATTTCATGAAACAATTTTCTTTAGAAACAATTAGTAAATAGTTTTAATAGTATAGTAAAAAAAATTTAAAATCTTATAAACAATTGACATTGTAATAATAATAATAATAATAATAACAATAAAGTTTTCAAGTAAATTATTTAACCATGATCCCTCCAAATTTTAAAAATTACATTACCTACAATTTTTTTTAATCAATATAGTGATTCATATGTACTCAAATAATTTATATAAATATTATTTTATTTTTGGTAATGATTAAATCTTGAAAATGTGATATGTCCATTATCTAGAATTTTAATATTAAATTCACATATCTTGAAAATGTGATATGTTTATTATCTAAAATTTTAATATAAATTCGCATATCTTGAAAATGTGATATGTTTATCATCTATAATTTTAATATTAAATTCACACATATTACTTATAATATTTTATGTACATCTGTATGTGCACAATGATAACTATATATTTCAAAACTTGACAACATATTTTCTGAGCCGCTAATTAATTAATTGTTGTTGAAATTGGCATGCATTTGTTGTTGTTGTTCTCGGCGTGATGTGTGGTGTTTTCGGTAAAGTAAACTACTAATATTTACATTTGATTTGAATCTCGTTGCGATGTCAGGCGCAAAATCTAACTTTTACTTTATTTGATGACTGTCAAAAGTTCCAAATGTAATTAAGAATATTATACTTATTTAATTTAAAAAATAATAATTTATATTTTCAAATACCTTTCTTTTTTTTTTTTGAATAAAAATTGTTCAGATGATGCCCACCAATCTCAACTCTGCTAGCCTTATATATTTTTAGTTTGTGTTAGATAATAGACATGATCAACATAATATGTAATTGATAAATAGTAAATTTATTATTATTTTTTAATTACGATTGATAGATAATTTAGTTTTTATTTATAATGTCTAGTCACCAAGCTAGTTAATATGGTATAATGTTTACAAATTTATATAAGAAATTAAAATAAAATTTCAATATATATCAAAAATTTTAGTTCGACAAATGTTTAATAAATTTAAAAGTCTAATAAACATATAATAATTTTTATTCTTACACACAATAATCCAAAAGCACAAAAAAATTGACACATACATACATTTATGAAATACCAAAAGTTTGACACTATATATTAATCAAAATCTTGCATTTATATATTATAGGAGTGATTTCATATCTCTAATTAACATGTTTGACTCGTGATTTAATGCTATCTAAATATTCCCTCATATTTTTTTTTTTTAAATTGTCATTCTAGTTTTATCAACTATTAACTAAATAAATGTCGTTTTGGATTTTTTGTACATATTTTCCAATATTACCATCATTTAGTTAATAAATACATTACGTCTTTTCATATTATTCACTCTTCACTTTTTCTCAAAAATTTATCTCTATCTTCATTAAATAAGATTATTATTGACAAAAAAATATTTTTAATTAATGTGCAACTTCTCAAAACTGACATATATTAAAAATAGGAGGTATTCTAATTGAAATTAAAAGAACGACGATAGAAAAATTATAAAAAAAAATTAAAAAAAAAAAGGTCCTAGCTAGCTAGCTAGTTCACATGATCATCATCAGCCAACATAAATTAATTAATCTACACTCAGGTGGAGGTGGAATTAGAGAGTTGCAAAATTCAGCGCATGCTTTTAAAAAGCCTAATTTAACGTCCTCATCTTCTCAACATATTAATCCTTCTATATATAAAAACCCATATTGTATCTTCTGGTAATTAATTAATTCATCAGTGTGTAATGCAATGGCTGCAGCAATATTTTTCAAAGCAGGCTCACATTTTGTACTCTTATCATTAATATTACATCTCACATTTACTGTGGAAGGAGGCAGCCACAATTACCATGATGCCCTTGCCAAATCGATTTTATTTTTCCAAGGCCAAAGATCCGGCAAACTTCACAACCAAGACCAAGCCCTAGGCTGGAGGGGCGATTCCGCACTTTCCGATGGTCAGTCGGATGGGGTACGTTAACGTATAAGTATAATTTTTAATAATAGCAATAATAATAATAATAATAATAATAACAATAATAATATGGGAAAATGCTACAGTCCCGTTACGGTACCATCTTGGACTATCTATCTTATCTAACTACATGTGGATCCAAAGGTTAAAACATCCGACGGGATGGTACCGTAACGGGATAGTAGCATTTCTCAATAATATGATCTCTTATATATATATATATATTGCATGTTACAGGTGGACTTGACGGGAGGGTACTACGACGCGGGAGATAACGTGAAGTTCAATTTCCCGATGGCCTTCACGATAACCATGCTTTCCTGGGGAGTCACTGAGAACGGCAAAAAAATGGGCCAGTTGCCCGAGGCAATGGCTGCGATCCGGTGGGGCACGGACTACCTGCTCAAATCTGCTCAGCATCTAAATACTACCGGCAAGTTATACGCGGTAGTTGGGGATCCGAATGATGACCACCGGTGTTGGGAGAGGGCAGAGGACATGGACACCGAGAGGACTGCATATTACGTAACACGCGAAAAACCGGGCTCTGACTTAGCGGCAGAAATGGCTGCTGCCATGGCCTCTGCTTCAATGGTTTTTCGGAAAACCGATTCCAAATACAGCAGGCTGCTTTTGCAGACTGCGAAAAACGTGATGCAGTTTGCTGTGGACAACCGAGGAGCGTACAGCGATTTCCTCGCAGTTGCGTGCCCGTTTTATTGCTCTTACTCGGGATACATTGTAATGACATTTTCATTTCTTTTTTTCTAATTATAATCAGTGTTTTTTTTTTTTTTTTTTAATTAAAATATATGATCTCTGATTGAGGAGAATTATTGGTGCAGGATGATCTGATATGGGGAGCAGCATGGCTGCACAGAGCAACTAATGATAACAAATATTTGGATTTGATTCAATCATTAGGGGATAGCGATCCACCGGACCTTTTCAGCTGGGACAACAAATTTGCGGGTGCTGATGTTCTCCTCGCAAGGGTAAGTAAAACCGAACAATTAGGCCGCCGGTTACTAGCTACTAATTCTAGCACTTAATAATAATATTATTATTCCAAGTCTGAATACTAGTAAAAACTCACGCTAGCTACCTCTTCACTTAATAATTTTTGCAGCGTTATTTGGTAAGTAAGGATGAGAAATTTGTGCGGTACAGTGAGAGAGCAGAAGCCTACATGTGCAAGATAATGCCTAATTCTCCATCATCGACTGTGCCATACACACCAGGTTGGTCGGTCGGTCGGTCAGTCCACCGCCTTAATTAATTCAGATGCATATATATATATACATCATGATACATGTGGTTAATTTAAAAGAGTTGTTAAGTCGATTTCATTACTTTGAATTCAAATAAATGCAGGACGTTTGATGTATAGGCTTGGTTCAAGCAATCTGCAGTATGTAACTTCTGCAACCTTGTTGCTTACTACATACGCGAAATACATGGCGGCCTCTGGCCACACTTTCGAGTGCGGAAGTTTCCACACAGTCACTCCGGCCTATCTCCGGAACCTAGCCAAAACACAAGTATATATATGTAGTGTAATTTGTTTTTATAGTTAGTCATTAGTTTCAACTGTATCCTGTGCTTGGTAAATGGATTGTATACAATGATGATGATGGTGCAGGTGGACTATATATTAGGCGACAATCCGATGAAAATGTCGTATATGGTCGGTTATGGTACAAATTTTCCGAAAAAGATCCACCACAGGGGATCTTCTATGCCGCAATTCGACAAACATAATCCAACGCACATTGGATGTGATGATGGGATGGAACAGTATTTTCACTCGTCGAGTGACAACCCAAACATTTTGACCGGTGCCATTGTGGGAGGTCCCGACTCGAACGACCAGTATAAGGACCAGAGGGAGGACGCAACCCAATCGGAGCCGGCTACTTACATAAATGCAGCCATTGTTGGGCCATTGGCTTACTTTGCCCGAACTAAACAATATTGATATATACTATTTCTCTCAAGTCCACTCATTAATTGAACTTATATATATAATTCATCAATGATTTTATGATGATGATGATGATGATGATGTATGGTCTAAAAGAGTTACAATTATTCAATCAATAATAAATAAAAGTTGCCTATTTCTATTACTACTCATTAATAATTTATTCTCATAAATTAATTACTAGTTACAATTAATAATTTATTCTCATAAATTAATTACTAATTACTAATTACTTAGTTCGGCGGCGTGATGTATGGTGTTTCTTTCGGTATGGTTGACCAAGTTAACAATGTAAATGATGAGTTGCCCAGTTAGATTCTACGAGCCTGATTAATGACGTCGGTCCAAATATCAAGCTCTCACTTTCTAGTTAAACTAAAAGTTCTCACTTTCTAGTTAAACTAAACTCACACACACACACACACACACACACACACACACACAAAGTTAAACGGTCAAAAGGAGAATAAAATTTGACTAAAAATGTACAAATGCTAATTATTAGTCGAATTGACTGATCTGCTGGAACAAAGGTGTTATAATCTGATTGATATATATATATATACACTAGTAAAGTGCACGTGCAATGCACGTGGTGCCGAATGATTTTTGTTGAATAAGTTTGTAAAATAAATTAATTTATTTATTAAACATATAATTGCAGAAATGAAACAAAATATAGAACAAATGAATTCATATGTGATTTTTTTATTTATTTAGAATTAACGAATTGATGTCCTAATATAGAAATAGTGAAATAACGTTTTACAACCCCCAACAAATATATATATATATAAAACAAATAAAAAAAACACTAATTTTCTTCTATTTTGGTGTAGATATGACTCATATATTGACAAAGGAAGGAAGCAGGATTGGGCTGGGTCGATTAGTTGGGCCGGGTGCGGGGGCAGAGCCCCTGCGGTACGGTACGAGGTATTTAAGTAAATTAATACCTTGTAGGGTTATAGTATAAATACATGGTGTATTGATTTATTTGAGACTATTGAGAATAACAAAGATCCCTCAGCAACCGTGGACGTAGGCACATTGCCGAACCACGTAAATCTTGTGTTGTTTACTTTTTTTCATTTTTTAATTCGTATGTCATATTGTCATCTTCACTCAACAAGTGGTACCAGAACCTGGTTGATTGGGCGACGGAGATGACGGGAGGATCAAAATTCGAGGTCTCGAAATTTGATGGTCATGGCAATTTCGGATTATGGCAGACGAGAGTAAAAGATTTATTGGCGCAACAAGGAATTCAGAAAAGGCTGCGCGCAGAAAATCCAAAGGGGATGGAAGACGATGATTGGCAAGATCTGCAGGAACGGGCGGCCGGGACGATTCAGTTGTGCCTTGCAGATGAAGTTATGTATCACGTTATGCATCTCAAATCGGCGGATGAGATCTGGAAGAAACTGGAATCGCAGTTTATGTCGAAAACCCTAACGACAAAACTGTATCTAAAGCAAAGGTTATACGGGCTGAAGATGCAGGAGGGGACCGATTTAGGGCAACATGTGAATATCTTCAATCAGGTTTTCACGGATTTGGCTTCACTCGAAGTCAAGATTGAAGATGAAGATAAGGCGATGATCTTACTGTGTTCGTTACCTCCTTCTTACGAACATATGGTGACTACCCTTACATATGGGAAAGAAACGATCAAGACTGAGGAGATTACTTCAGCGTTGTTGGCTCACAACCAGCGGAAACAGAAATCTGGAGAGTCATCTTCTCAAAGTGACAGCTTATATGTGAAGGGTAACCAGGATCGTGGAAGAAGACATGGGCGAGATAATTCAGGAAATCGGAATTTCAGATCCAAGTCACGAGACAAATCGCAAGGGAGGAAAACTGTGACGTGTTATAAGTGCAAGGAACAAAGGGCACTTTAAACGGGATTGCCCAAAGTGGAAGAAACGGACTGTTGATATGTCATCCAAGTCTGCGAATGTGGTACAAAATGAGGAATCCGATTGCAGTGATGGAGATATGTTATCTATTTCGACTACGCAGTATGATGATGCCTGGATTCTCGATTCTGGATGTTCATATCATATAACGCCTAAAAGAGAGTGGTTTGCTACTTATAAACCAGGCAACTGAGGTTCTGTTTTTCTTGGTGATGATAGATGTTGCGGTATTGTCGGTATTGGAGATGTCAAAATCAGGATGTATGATGGAACTGTTAGGACATTATGTGATGTGAGACATATCCCTGAGTTGAAGAAGAATTTGATTTCTTTGGGTACTTTGCATAAAAATGGTTTCATTCCCAAGGCTGATGAGGATAGGAAAACCATTAAGATTGTGAAGGGTGCCTTGACTGTGATGAAGGGGAAGATCACTGCAGGGAACATTTACAAACTGTTGGGAAGTACAGTTGTAGGTGGAGTCCATTCGGTGGAGTCGTGTGAAGATAGCACGAAATTATGGCACATGCGTCTTGGACATCTTAGTGAACATGGCATGACTGAACTGCATAAGAAGGGGCTTCTGCATGGTGTTAAAACTTGCAAACTCAATTTCTGCAAGTTTTGTGTTCTGGGAAAGCAGACAAAAGTCAGTTTCAAGATTAAGATGAAGAAGACAAAAAGAATTCTGGATTATGTACATTCAGATGTGTGGGGTCCTACTAGAGTGACATCGATTGGTGGTTCTGTGTACTATGTGACCTTTATTGATGATTTTTCGAAGAAAGTTTGGGTGTATTTCATGAAGCATAAATCTGATGTTATTGCTAAATTCAAGCTATGGAAGGCTGAGGTGGAGAACCAGACTGGTAGGAAGATCAAGTATTTAAGGTCTGATAATGGTACAGAGTACACAGATTCACAGTTCCAAAAGTTTTGTGAGGAGCATGGCATTCAAAGGCATTTTACAGTGCGTAAAACGCCACAGCAGAATGGTGTTTTTGAGAGGATGAATCGAACACTGGCTGAGAGGGCGAGGTGTTTAAGACTGAATGCAGGTTTGCCAAAGAGTTTATGGGCTGAGGCTGTAAGTATGGATTGTTATTTGATTAACAGATCACCATGTGCATCTTTGGATGGCAAAGTTGCAGAAGAAGTATGGATAGGTAATGATGTTAGTTTTGATCATCTGAAGATTTTTGGTTGTCCTGCTTATGTTCATATTCTTGCTGATGAGAGGTCAAAACTTGATGCTAAATCAAAGAAGTGCACTTTTCTGGGCTATAAGAAAGGTGTGAAGGGATACAAGTTTTGGGATCCAGTTGAGAAGAAGACAGTGATTAGTAGAGATGCAGTGTTTGATGAACAGTCTATGTTGGGATCAGATGCAAATAAGGTACAAGTGGAGTTAGAACATGTGCCAGCAGTTCTTGATAAGGGGGAGAGTTTGAGTTCTGCACCTGATGATGTTGATCATGATGTTTCTGGCCCAATTGATTTGCCAGAGAGCTACAAGTTAGCTCGGGAAAGAGTGAGGCGTACCAATATACAAGCTCTGATCAGGTTTGGTTATGAGGATATGGTCGCATTTGCTCTTACGATCACTAGCGTGGATCCATGTACTTTCCAGGAGGCTGTTTCTTGTGACAATAATGATAGATGGAAGGCTGCCATGGAAGAAGAGATGAATTCCGTACATAAGAATCAGACATGGGAGTTGGATGTTCTTCCCAAAGGGAAGAAAGCTATTGGTTGTAGGTGGATTTACACAAGGAAGTCATCGGTAACATAAAAAGGAGAGGAAAGGATCAAGGCTCGACTGGTGGCTAAAGGATACTCACAGCAAAAGGGGATTGACTATGATGAGACATTTTCTCTTGTGGTTAGACATACTTCGTTCAGGGCTGTACTTGCATTGGTGGCTAGTTTGGATTTGCATTTGGAGCAGATGGATGTGAAGACTGCTTTCTTGCATGGTGATCTCGCAGAGCCTATTTACATGCAGCAGCCAGAGCGTTTTCTTCAACCAGGGAAGAAGCATTTATTTTGCAGGTTGAAAAAATCCTTGTATGGCTTGAAGCAAGCATCACGGCAGTGGAATATACGGTTTGATTCGTATATGCTGAAGATTGTCTACAAGCTGTGTGAGTTCAATTGTTGTGTTTACACTAAGAGCCTTGGTGATGGTTCTATGATTTTTCTGTTACTTTATGTTGATGACATGCTTATTGCTTCCAAGAATATGCGTGATATTGTTTATCTGAAAAGCCTTTTGAGTCAGGAATTTGAGATGAAGCATTTGGGGGTTGCGAAGAAGATTCTTGGGATGGAGATTCACAGGGATAGAGGATCAAAGAAGCTGTGGTTATCTCAGAAGGGTTATGTGGAGAAGGTGCTACAGAGGTTTGGGATGAATGAAGCAGAACCTGTGAGCACTCTATTAGCAAACCACTTCAAGCTTTTTGTTGATCAGTGCCCCAAGTCGGACAAGGAGACTCAGATATGGTGGAGATACCTTCTGCCAGTGCTGTTGGATGTCTGATGTATGCCATGGTATTTACTCGTCCTGATTTAGCTCATGCTGTTGGTCAAGTTTGCAAGTATATGTCTAGGCTGGGTAAACAACATTGGGAGGCAGTCAAATGGATTTTCAGATATTTGAAAGGTACTGTGGGACATGGTATTGTGTTTGGAGATCAGCGGTTGGATCCTTTGGTTGTAGGATATGTGGATTCTGATTATGCTGGAGACTTGGATAATAGGAGATCTACCACTGGGTATGTCTTCACTTTTGGTGGAGGGCCTATTTGTTGGAGGTCGAATACTCAACCTATAGTTGCTCTATCTACAACTGAAGCTGAGTATATTGCTTTGGCTGAAGCGGCAAATGAAGCAGTGTGGCTTGCTGGATTGGTTAGAGAGTTGGGTATTCAGCAAGGTGGAGTTCTAGTACATTGTGACAGTCAGAGTACCATTCATTTGGCTAAGAATCAGATATATCATGCTAGGATGAAGCATATTGATGTGAGGTTCCACAAGATTATGGAATGGATTGCTTCTGGTGATATTCAGTTGGAGAAAGTTTATATTGAAGAGAATGTTGCTGACATGTTGACTAAGACTATTACTTCTGACAAATTCAAGCATTGCTTGGATTTGTTGAATGTTTCTGCATGCTAGAGTTGCATGATACCCTCGGCCTGATTGGTGTGTCTCGCAGAGGTGCTCGCTATTGTGTTCTCCTAAGGAGGTGATATATTCGCCAAAGTGGAGATTTGTTGATATGACTCATAAATTGACAAAGGAAGGAGGCAGGATTGGGTTGGGTCGATTAGTAGGGCCGGGGGTGCGGGGGCGGAGCCCCCGCGGTACGGTACGGGGTATTTAAGTAAATTAATACCTTGTAGGGTTATAGTATAAATACATGGTGTATTGATGTATTTGTGACTATTGAGAATAACAAAGATCCTTCAGCAGCCGTGGACGTAGACACATTGCCGAACCACGTAAATCTTGTGTTGTTTACTTTTTTCGTTTTTTAATTCGTATGCCATATTTTCATCTTCACTCAAAATTTGGTTTTAACGTTCTCATAAGAAATATTCATACTCGTTGGAGTCCAATACATCAATACTATTGCGAAATTTCTCTTAATTCATTTGGCAAAACGCTTAAGACAAACTGTGTCAAATATATATCGGATTTGGGTGCTCTAGCCAAAACGTGGGAATAGTTATAAGTTTACATCTATTTTTTTACTTTTTTTTATTTTTATTATGAGTTGTTCCAAATCTATGTAAGAAAAATATACCACAAGTTTATCTTATGATTTTTATACTTAATAAAATTGATGTAAATTGAATATAAAATTTATCATACAGTATACTTTTAGATCAATTTATTATTTTAATTTAGTACTTATATATATAATATTTTATATCGATATAAATAATATATTATTTTTATTTTATTTGCAATATATTGACCAACTCAAATATCATTGAAAGAAATGATGTGATAATTTACATATAAAAAGGGTAACAAATAGAAAATATGAAGTATTTCAAAATTAAAAAAAAAAAATAAAGATAGAAAGTAATAAATTTGTTAACTAAATAATTTTAAGATTAACACACCCACTTTTAAAGATATTCCAATTAAAATATATGTATATTTTAAGTATGTTTTATATTTCTCATTAGTCAGCTCTAATTGATATTGTACATTAAGTAATTTTATCAGTATTTTTACTTTTGGATTTAATGAGAGCTATAAGTTGTCTCATCATTCTTACTCATTATTTAGTTATTACAATACTAATAAAATAATTAAGGACATTTTAAAGTATCTTGTTTGCTTTGAAAAAAAAAAAGTTATTTATTATCATAAATTAAACGCTAATTACATTGAATGTGTTATATTTTCTATCATATCAAAAATTTTCATAATAATAGTTGCACATAATATTATATATAATGCAATTTTTTTATAGATTTGGAGTCCTACTTTTACTGCAAGAAATGAGAAAATTCCAATGAAAATTACAACAAGAATGTAACGATTTTTTTATGTTGAATAGAGAAAATCATGTCTTTTGGTTTCCTAAATATATTTTACTTTATTGTGACTGTATAGATTTATTAAAATGTATTACAAATGAGAAAGGTGATAGATTATGTAAAGTATAATTTATAAATTACAATGACATGTTATTTTGATGATATATTTTTTTCTATTAAATAAATAATACCCACAATATGAAATTATTTTGGAGCTATCACTGCAATTAGCTTTCCAAGGGAACTTTCATTGAGTTTTTGCACAATAGCAATGACAATTTTTCCAACTATTGAAATATGGTCCAAAAAAAATTCCAATAGAAATTCAGGTAATTGACATCTTTAAATTCACTAAAGTTCATGTAATTTAACTTGAAATATGTTGGAATAGCCGATGAAATTTTCCAATTAAAGCAATATTTA